GTATTTGGGGATTTCTGCCTCTCCTTCCATCAGCCACTGGATGAGGGCTCTGAGGCTGAGGCTAGGGCACCCACCGCCGGACAGAGCCTAAATGCAATTCTTAAACATTTTTATGTATGAAAAAATATAAGATGGTTAATTTTGGATGTCAATTGACTGGATTAAGGAATACTGCTAAGAGGTAGTGGTCCATGCCTTTAATCTCAGCATTTGGGAGTCAGAGGCAGGTGTATCCCTGTGAGTGCAAGGCTAGCCTGGTTTACTGAGCGAGTTACAGGACACCCAGGGTTATATAGAGAAACTTTGTATTGAAAAACCAGCAAAACAAGAAAAAACAAAACAAATCACATGACTACTCTTGAGGGTATCTCTGAGGGTTTTTCCAGAGAAGACTGATGGCAGAGTGAACTAGTGGAGAAGATGTGCCTTCAGTGTAGGTAGGCACCAGGAAGCCTGGTGAGCTTTCTAGTACCTTCAACAGTAAACCCTCAGTCTTCAGCCTTCAGGTTCTGAGGCCTTTGGACATGGCCTGAGCCATGATAATGGCATCTTAGGGTTTCTAGCTTTCAGATAGTATATGTGAGCCAATTTTCATACTAGATTCCCTTACTAATATGGATGTCAATCATTTATCTAACTATCCAGCTACACACCTTTGGAGAACCTTGAGTAATACTAATTTTATGGTCAGCAGTTGTTCTAGAAAGCGTAAGGACCATAACTTTTTAATGATTTATTTTTATTTTATGTGCATTGGTGTTTTGCCTGCATGTGTTGTCTGTATGAGGGTGTCAGATCCCCTCAAACTGGAGTTACAAACAGCTGTGAACCACCAAGTGGTGGCTAGGAATTGAATCGGGGTTCTCTGCAAAAGCAGCCAATGCTCTTAATCACTGAGCCATCTCTCCGACCCTAGAATGATGAAGTCTATCCAATAAAATAGTTCAAAGTTTGGCAGCTATCAGCAAATTGGCAGGTGTGTACACTAAAACCTGTTTGCATACATTTTCCAGACTGGCACAAATTTATTGCCAGAATGCCAGCCAATCTCTCAGAGTTAGCTAGGAAAACACAAATGCTCTTTGGGTCCCAAGAGAGCTGATAAACAGATCTGCCAAATTCTTCAAGAAAGGTCGACTAACTAGGAAGGGTAAGCTACTTGCTTTTGCAAAGCCAGTGATCCCACTAATAGCAACCAGTGCTGTAGAAATGAAACAAAAATAAGGCACCAGTAAGCCAGTATGCTTTTGCACTTTTGTCTTCTTTCTTTGTCTAGCACGGATACTATTCCAGACTTGTGTCCCATTTGCTTGCTTTGCTGTGTTACATGTCATCAAAGCTAAAAAGAAAATTGGAATCGGAAGGGTTAAGGGAATTCTGTGTGTGTGTGTGTTTAATGATAGGTTTGAAGAGTTTGATGATAGAAATTGTTAAATGATTTATTTTTATTTTATGTGCATTGGTGTTTTGCCTGCATGTATGAGAGTGTATGTATGTTTTGTCTGTATGAGGGTGTCAGATCCCCTCCAACTGGAGTTACAGACAGCTGTGAACC